CCACATCAGTTGACTCCTCCACCTTTGGTCAATGATGAAACAACAATGATCAGACAGCATTTAATTTTTCACAATGCGGAACATGCTAACTACTAGTCAAGTGGAAGTAAAAACATTCTGCTGCTATGATTGATTGGAAAAAATAATTCAAACAAATTCTAGCTCCTAGTACAGTGCAGCACATTCAAAAGTGTACAAAGGGAAAAGCCAACAGCACTTATTCAAAAACCAGTCCACCAGCTTATATGACAATTAATCACAAAAGCAAAGGGCTTAACATTAATGGTTTAGATACTGTTCGTTAGCAGTGTCAGAAATACAGTATGCACAAGTAAAAATTGTTCATTAAGGAAAATATTAATCGATTGCACTAAATGTACATGAAAGAAACTCAGTGTAGATATGAGAATTACCAAGAAGTGACCTCTTCAAGAGCAAATAATACCCCACCTACTGGAGCTCTAAAAGCAGCAGCAACTCCGGCTGCACATCCACAAGTCACCTGAGTCAACAGATAAAGGAGGAAGCACTTCTTAGGACAGAGAAAACCCCCTTTCATTATAATTGTAAGGACCAGATCTTAGCTTTCATCTCCAAATTATTTTAGCATTTCCTAAGATTCATAAAGAAGCTGACATCTTATGTAGAAAAATAAGGAAATAAAAGATTTAGATTGTTCAGATTGATTATTGCATCAAGCTTGGAGGGTCTAGATAGTGTTTAAACAGGGTCTGACGTAGAAGTGGAGAAATTGATATCATTTTTACTGACTTACATATCCTTATCTTTTTTTTCTTTTTCCTTTTTTCTTTTTTTGATACCTGTGGCGTCCGGGCCAGATTGCGCGCACCTCAAAAAACACCAACACATGCAAGGAACCTAGAATCAAGCCTGAGACCTCAGTCTGAAAGATTAGGCGCTCACTCTCACAGATCCTTATCACAATTATATGGTTTGATTTATATTTACAAGTTCAGAGACCGTAGCAAGATTCTTATAGATTCTTACCAACTTCAAATAATTAAAGAAGAGCATGCCATGTACAAGAGGGAACCACTAAATAACATTGGTTTAGTTTTTTACACTATCGAGTTGATAAAAAATTGATTTCAGTCGTGTACGTTGAAACCTGCGAAAGACGGTAAGTAACCTGATACAACAAGTTAAACCACAATGATGTGTAAAATTATTTACATTGACAATTCATATAATCAGGACCCAAAATTAAATTGCATGATTATTATTGCAACAACCAAGAAAAATGGAAAAAGAGCTGTTACTCACAATAAAGATGTGTCCTTACTTTTAATAAATATATAAATCTGGATGCTTAAAACAAAGGATAATTGTGCAACATCCCAACTTTATTTACACATAAGAAGGTGATAATCCACTTCTGAATTGTTTTAGCAGCAAAATATTGTATCTAGGTTATTTTTTAACTCTAATACTCCACTACATGATTTTTCTGACTGTCTTCCAATTATTACTACACTGCATACTATTTTGCTTCTAGAACCAAGAGTCCCACAACTTAAGAAGTACCACTATTGCACATGTACTACCTTAGTGACTCCCTTTACTCAGGTTGAATAACCAATGGACCATAATAAACATGATTTAGAAAAACCCTATTTGCACCTAGTGTAGCTTAATGCATGACATGTGTAATCCTTTTACGTTCATTTTTCCATGGTTAACTAACCGAATATCTAAGGAAGTTTCAAATATCAAGGAAAACTCATAAAGAAAAATGAGATGAATGTTAACCACAACGAATTAAAAGGAATGTTAAATTATAACCCGAAATATAACTTTTTAAAATTAGTTAATACCATAGAAAACTAACTTTTTAAACTGTTTAATTTGGCTCCAAGAGTTAAATTAATAAAACTTTCTCATACACCGGATGCAGAAAAGTATTTATGAGCAAGAAACCGCTCTCCACACTCTTCTTAAAAGTTAGAATGATTGTAAAGGCATCATTTTTTAGGATTCTTTTTAAATGATAAAAAAGTAGCATAAAAAAGGGAGATGCTGCGCTAGGAAAAAGCTATTAACCAGCGGGTATTTCAAATCTCTCGGTTCCACTTATTCAACTGTCAAGACAAGCAATACAGCTCCAATGCCTCAACATTTAAATGAAAGAAAAATGACCAACCAGGGAAGTGTAAAAACAGTGCTCGAAGTAGTTTATTAAAAGCTGCCGTTTCCAATTAAAGTGATGAAGCGATGCGAAGTGAGGGTTTGCTTCATTTATGAAGCCATGCGCTTCAATCAATGACACGCATCACAATCACAATAGGACGCAGTCGGTTCTTCAAATCTCAACTTTGAGAAGTTGGATTAATATTGGCACTAATGTATATCAGATATTGAAATTAGTAATTAAACCATATATGTTTGGTATTTTTTAAATGTTGTGAATTGTGCGCTTCACTTCAAAGAAGCGTGAGTCTCAGTTCTCGCTTTTTGCTTCAATCCCCGGGACCTTGTCGCTTTTTTGCGCTTTTCGCTTTTAAGAACACCGGGCCTCAAACAGTCAAACTACAAAAATTGAGCAAGTATTGGAGACCCTCAATTGGCACTTCTTAGACAAACAGATCAAGCGAACTAAAACAGTATAGGACCTAAAAAGCTGGAATCCAAAGAGCTCCTTGGGGAAAACAGGTAGAGAATTTGAGATGGTAACTGGTAGACAATATTCCTCCAGGTAGAAATGGGAAGAGGTATTCTATCTCAATTAACATAAAGGACATCAGTCACTCACCAAATCACGACGATCCCGTTCACTGCTAAAAACTTGGAGCCACCTTGACCGCAGGTGATATTTTGTGGATCCGCCCTGTAATTACAGAAAAATACATGAGCATTCAGCAAGCATAACATTTGGAGTTACACACTGGACATATTTCAGATGATCGCCAATACAGAGCAAGTATCACATCTTTAATTCAAATGACAGGTAAAAAGAAACAGAACATTGAGTCAGCAATAGATATTGTGTTTCAAAAACTAAAAAGAATATAAGATAAAATTTGAATTCTTGAAAAATTAAAAAGTGAAATGCAGTCAGAGAAAAAAAAACACGAGTAGATTTAGACACTGTATACTCACTTGTCCAAGCAAAGAAGCAATACAAGCACCAATATGTACAAGCGGCCCTTCTTTGCCAAGGGCAAGACCACCTCCCACTGAACCTATGCTTCCAAAAATCTAAAAGACCGAATAAGAATAAAAACAAATTATCTAATTTAGAGTGACAGGATCCACAACAAAGCTTAGATGTGCAACCATACCTTTCCAATCAAAGTTCTGAAAAGAAGGATACCATGTGTGTCAATTCCTACACATACAGACCAAAATGAGCAACCCAGAAGAAGATATTATCCCCACCAGAGATTCAACAACCAATATCAGAAAGTACAAGCTTACCGTTTAGATAACCCTTTATTTCAGGAATCCCTGATCCTGACGCTGCTGGTGCGAAGTGTGTGATAATATATACAGAAGATAATACTAGCACCAAGTTGATCAAAATATACACCAGACATCCAGCAAAATATGACTTCTGAATAATTTGAAATGTCAATGAGAACTTCCATCCCGCAAAATTTTCAACAGAAAGATTAATGAAAACAGCAGCAAGTCCTGTGCCTGAGAAAATGAATAGGACTCAGTTCATAAGAAAGCAACCATTAGGCCTAATGCTAGTTGAAACACATAAATTAAAGAGAATAAGATTGCTAGAGTGAAATGGAAATAATGTTTTGCCCTCTGCGTTGTGTTATTAGTTCTCTCAACTCCACCATTTCACTGTTTAAACATATAAACCAGAACACAACAAGAAGGTATTGTATGATAAAATGAGCAAACAAATTTAGCAAATTAATTTCGATGACACAAGGAGGAGGGCGGAATATGAACAATTCACATCCAATTCCTACTGATTTCCGTTGAATATATTTGCAACCCTCTAAAATACAAGTCACTAGATTTTCTCATGATTATGACTTAAACTCATGGTTCACCACACATATATCCCAACAACAAGATTGGTCCTAACATCATACGTTGAAGGACAAAATAAAGATGATCAATTAAGCTACTCCGGAACTTCCAGCCCATGAAAAGAAAATCATTCCTTCTGGTGAAGAACTTTTCCTACTCAGAGAGAGAGCGAGAGAGATAACCATTACTTCTGAGGTACTAAACAGTGATAAAGCTCCAAGTTAAGCCAGAATATATATAATTTGGCAAAATGGGGACTGACAAATTCATTTTTTAAAACTCTTATAAGCTCAAAAATGATTCTCATATAGTTTCAGAGTCATACGACAAAATTCCTAAGACGAGGATAATGCACACTACATTTGGACTTTCAAAATTTTCTGAGAAAAAGTTAACAAATTTTTCTGGTCAAAAGTACCTGTTCAATAGGTAAGAAAATGATATATAAGTCAAGAACAAAATTATGAAGCACTATTCACCAAATGGAACCGCCTAAATGGGCTTTAGCAATTTAATCTCATTCGCCTAAATCAAGTTATTACCTTAATGTCTTGTGTAGGATCATATTTTCTGAGATTCTTCGGACTATAACAATAACTATCCACGCTATTTACAAGTAGTTGCAAACCTCAGAAAAATTCAGTGTCCGTCTTTAAACATGAGACCTCTATTAATAAAGAATAAGCTAGCCCCCGTACAGTAATTAAATGATTATTAAGATATTCCTTTACAATAACATTAAAGACTGATTTTTGGGATTCATTTATGACCGAGTAGAGGCAAATCAGAGCAAAAGAAGAAACTTTAATTTCTCAGTTTCTGAGTGTTAAAAGATCTTATCTATATAATGATACCTTATTCTAGAATGAAAGAGCTAGTTGAGGCTCCCAAAACAGAAACAGAAAACAAGAGAAAAAAAATTCCTAGCTTCAATTTATATCTAATAACGTCAACCAGGCAACGAGTAACTCCACAATCCAAATTAATGTGATTCATCTATATGAATCCTCCTTCTCCATTTATATGTTCCATTCTATTCAGGGCATGCAAAGATTGATTCAAGATGCATTTTCAAGATTACCAGTTCTCTATTGCTGAGGATATAAGCAGGTATAAGAAAGAACATCTTCTTCCTCCTGTAATGTTTCAGCTAAGTAGGTCATCAGTTATATGTCAACCTATTTACATGCAACGTATAGGAGTCAACAACAAATCAAAATAGTTCAAATGACACATGTGATTCTGGAAATTTATTTGTTCTTCTCGACTCTAATCCCCATCCCTTGAATTTTATAATATCGCGTTACTATTGACCATGTTACTCCATTTAAACTCATCTCATGTCAATATTATGATCCTCCGTATCTCTTATCCCGTGGCTGAAAAAATGAGGTTTTTTCTGGAAATGGGCATAAGATATTGATGTTCTCTTTCCAAATAGAGGGAAAAAACAGCAAAAAGGTGCTCTCGCCAATACAATCCTATTAGAACTGCTCACAGCGTGGAGAACTGTTATCACAAATATCCATCCTTCCAGCATTTTCATGTGAAGCAAAAACATTAACCTAACTCCAAAATTATCACTTTGAGGCAAACGGGGTACCAGGGACAAGAACATACAATAGAAAATCTATTCCTATAGGGTATAAAGAGAAATAACCATAGATTAAGTTGACACCAAATCTCACCAATTCCAATTAGTAACGCCAAGAACCATTTCACCACAACAGCATATCCCATATAAAGCTTTCCTCTTTTAGCCTGTCCATATAGCACACATCAAACACAACTTCAGATATCTTATTTTCCTAATATAAAAGCAACTAACCATTTCATTTCTCTTTTTCTATATACAATTCTAATATAAAGCATGCATATTTAGAACAAGAACTGAGTTTTTATGTAATTATCTATTCAAATAGTATCATATTTTCCTAATATAGAGCTAATACTTTTTTATGAGTTTAAGTTCTATGCACTGACGTAATTTAGAAGGTAATAAAAAGGTAAATCTCTAAGATAAGCATTACTGGTAACTTGGTAACTCTAAAAGTTGTAACTAACCTCCTATAACAAGTTAAAAAATACTGATAGCTAAAAAAGACTTTATACTTACAGTGCATATAACTTGAATCCTTTTTAATAAGTAATATAAAGCTATTATCTTTAAACAAAAAGGACTAAGAATTGAGCTTTGCAAAAAGGATCTAGCACCTGTTCTTCCCTGTAAGCATAATTTTCAACAACTTCATAATCGAGACTTTCCACAGTGCTCCCATTGCCCTTTGTTGATGACGGACCCACCTCGCCGCCGTCTTCCTCCTCCTCCTCCTCCGCCATCGCCGGAATCCGTGACCACATCAGCTTCGCCGTGTCCACCCCATTTTGAAAATGATCTGATAACATATCTATATCTATATCTATATATGTATTAATATATAAGTTTAATGAACCCCAAAACCTCAAAAATTCGAACCCCTTTTGATGAATAAGCCCAAAATTATAGCCTAAAACGCCAAAATTAGAGGTGAATTTTGAGAAAATTGGGATCAAGATTGGGTTTTTTCTGGTTTCTGCTGACTAAGAATTTTAAGTGTCAATGTCAGGGTAGGGTGATGAGAATTTCTTTTCTTCCAGAATAAGCGAGAGATGGGCATGTATATATGAGTTAACATTCGTGAATTGATGTGTATTTCTCTGTTGAGTCTACTAGTCCGGTGAGTCCACCACAAGTTTACTTTACTTCTTGTGGTAAAAAATGTTTTAGGGAAAGGGGAGTTGTTTGAAGAAAACTAAAATAATGCAAAAAGGATATTAGAAATAGTTGAAGTCATGTTCTCACTGCATACAATTTGAATATTCTATTCTATTTTTCAAATTTTACAGTACATTACAATGGTAATGACTTTAATGTTTTGGTTAATTCCTTTTTTTTTTAAACTTTCATCAAATTTAACCGATAGAGTTTTTGGGGATAATTGCATAAAAGTACAGTCAGCATAAGTGTTTTTCATCCACGTAGCCATCATTTTAAGTTTTCATTCGTGTAGCCCATAAAAGTTTTACAATATGACATCATCGTCTGGATATAACTTTATAAATCTATATGTGATTTTTTATTCTTTGC